ATGGAAAATATTCGGATGAATAGTAGCCGTAAGATCGTGCGAGGAAGAAGAAGCGGAGAGGATCCTCGATCCGTGAAAGTGAGCAGAGAACAAAAGGCAAAAGGCAGTAGGCCGTAAAGTAAATCCCAGCCGGCACACATACAGGTACGCGTATGATTGATGCACGGAAGTAAATTTTACGATCTAGTAGTGGTATTTTACGATCCACGCGATTTTTGATTCACCGTGCACGAGGCTGAAGCAACGTAGCCAGATTCTTACGTGCATGTACGTGGTAGCTGGTAACCGAGTCATAAGGAATTCCTTTTCCACGGCGATCGAGCATCGGCCACGTTTCCACGGGTACAGTCCGAACCATAACGAGTCAGCGACGTCTATTTGAAAAATCAATCTATTTCTCCGGCCAATTCCGACTTCGTCCCACGTGAACCGAAGAAACCGTTCATTTTCATTTTTAATGAATTTTCTATAATGTATCACATTTAAACATTGAATAACACCGAAAATATTGCTGCACCTCGGTAATACGAAATGAATTAATTCATTTACAAAAGTTAATCATTTATTTGTTATACTATTTATTCGTATTCCCGTTCTTCTGCTATTCCGTTTATGTAAACCGATATACATATTTCGTGCACGTTCCTTTCCCCCCATGGTATCTCGTCCTCAATTTTGCCAAGATCTTTCCGCTATTTATACATGAACGTATGTAATAACAACCGAAAGTTTACGAATAGACATAGCCATGAGATCGAAAGAAGGTTTTGTTAATTACACGAACCTGACAACAGATCTTTGCATATCGGGCTGTGTACCTATCGATTTTAAAGGATCGCGAATGGAGCACGTAAATAAGCACGTAGACAAGAGCATCTGGTAAATATCGAGGATTCCCACAGGTCAGACCGACACGGCTCGGCGACCCTTTTCGCAACCGGTAACCCGCCTAACTTCTAACTCGATACGTAATTGGCCCATTCGCTAATTTTCGAACGGGTCCACGATGATCTATGCGCCGTAGAGCCGATCTACAGACAGCGCGCGACGCTGCGACGGGGCCGCTTACTTCTTCTCTTAAACGCGAAATAGAGAAATCCGACGGGTGTATCCAGGTATATCGCAAACAGGTAAATTTGCATCAAATTGATCCGTTAAGTCAAACAAGACCCCGAGTTATGTGTACTGTTACCACCGTGCTCGGTCTCGCTCTTTCGCCTTCTCTGTCCGTCTGTGTGCATCGAATCCCAGCGCGCGGAAGAAAACGTTGACTCCTCGGTTGCGTAACCCCTGCCGACGACTGACCCCGAATCGAACGATTTGCTCTCCTCGCGATCTATCGATCCTTCCTTTCTACCATCGCGAAACCGTGCGCCGAAAGATGATCGATGTGGGAGCGATTTCTCGTCGGTTCGCAACCCGACGAAACTAGCTTTAAAAATTCCGCACTACTTCGTTTATGGTAGGCCGGAGAATACGCGTCTGTCGTTCCGATCGTCTAACAGGCGACGATCGGCGACGATCGACGCCGTTCGACACCCCGTCGCGGCGTTTGTTTCTACGATTTAGATGTTAATTAGAAGTAAAAAGATCCCGATCGGCCTTTGATCGATGAAACGGCGATCGGCACAGTGCGTTCCGTTTATTAATTCGTGTATGGGAGGTTGGGCAGCGCGTAACGAAGCGGAGATGCGAATCGAAAGAGAGTAAATAAGCGACGAGGATAGAGAGAAGATCACGGAGGAGAATAAAAGGAGAGCACGCAGTCGGGCGGCCGATCTCGAGCGGCCGTGGCGCGGAACAGAGCTCGATGGAGCGGAACTACCAGTCACCTGCTCGCTTCCGGCACGTCTCTCTCCTCCGTTCGTTTCGGTTTTAACCCCCGGACGATTCCCCGAATGATCCGACCCCCTTCCACCCCGTCCTGTCCACGTCTTAATCTCGTTTCGTCGTCCATGAGATACCACGACCGATTACAACACCGATTCGACTCGCGTACGAGTTTCAGATTACACGTATTTCGCTCGAAAAAAAGTGATTGCCCACTGAAACGGGTTCGCTTCGTTACTCGCGCTCGACGCAACAATGAAAAAAAAACAGGCGGATACGAGATATTTTCTAATCGACCACCCGTTTGCACACGTATTTGTTGTGCCCATGCCAATTTACGTATGAACTTATGGTATACGATTGTTTTATCATTGTTTTTAGGCGATGAATCGGTGCCCGAAGCGTTTACAGTTTACACATGTATACATGTAGAGAGATCGAGGCTCGAGACGTTCGACAACGCCTGGGAACGATTCGATCGAAGCCGAGCCATGACTAAGCGTTCCTTCTCGGATCTTCGAGCCGGACAACCAGATCGAACGATGCCCCGCCGCTCTCGTTCTCGTTCTCGTTCGCCTCGCGTTTAATCGGTTCACCGTTCAAACCCGAACCTGCATCCTCCGACTTCTATTTATGTACGTGTACATACCGACTCGTAACGGCCTCAGTAACCACCGTTTTGCACGGATGAAATATTTAATTTCCACTGAAATTGCTAACGATTCGAGTGCATCGTGCGCCTGTTCGCCTCCAACGGCGATAAAACATTTCGTTGTTATAATATAGATTAACTTCATGCTTGTCTTCGATCTAAGACCGTACGGTATCATCGTATCACAGGGCTTATGCCCGTCAAATACAAATAAATAACTAAATAAAAACGAATGTCATACTAAATAATTATCGACGAGTCACACTGGGTTTGGTATTCGACTGGAGCGTTTGAAATTCTCAAGATTATTATTATTCGTAGAAAACGATTTTCTCGGTTCTATGAGGCGAATACGTGTAGCTTTCTAGTCGAACTTTTCTCGGAACACGGTTTCTTTCCGTAGACAAGAGTGTGTAACGAAGTTATACGATTGCCACACGATCCGTTTCATTGCATTCTATTGTATCGAGCTAACGATCTCGAGTGATCCGACTGACTCTTCAAACATTTTGTTTAAACAAAACGTAGTAGTTGGTTTCGCGTTTGAGGAAAGAGAAAACGGTGAGACGTAGAAGGATATCGGGAGCCTGGTTCCGTATATTTCCACGGGAGACCCGGAGAGAGGCTAAAGGGGCCCATTACCCGGCCGTAAAACCGTGGGCTAGGCCCCGCTCTGCTGTTACACACGCATCCCGTGCAAAAAAATGCCACATTGTTCTTTACCACTGGTAACGATCGCGTGTACAGTCTCGCCGGCAAGATCCTGCCAGCGACCGGCGATTTCTCCTCGAAAACGTCGATCGCGCGCGTACTTCGATTCGATTTCCACGAGAGCGACCGCGGATCTATCGGGTAAAAAGAAACCGATCGTGAATCCGATTCGGCAGACATCGCATCGGAGTTTCCACCAGATTTTTATTTGACTCGGGATTTAATTTACTCAGCCGCCCCGTATCTCTCTACGACGCGTGGCGCATTGCCTAGCCTGGTCAACGAAAACTTTTCCCCGGATTCTACCTGGAAAATAAATATTCGGTCGGGCCACCGCCGCCGTACCGTCGGTTGGCTGATTTATTCCGTTGCGGAATGCGTACAGACTTGCCAACGAGAGCCTGGCCCCGCCGCAGGAGTTAACCCACTTTTTCCCCTTTGCGAAAAAACCGCCCCTTTGCGAGAAGAGGTAGGTAAATATGATCGTGATAAAATTGTACGCGTGCCGCGTCGATTTAATTAGTTTCGAACGATACCTCTTCGGGCGGATTCGGCTCGTACAAGTTGGAACAAAGTTGCCCGGCGCGCGCGACTATTCCGATTATGATTGGCGCATCATCGTGATACTAAATAAATTCGGTGGATCGCCCCCTCGTGTACAAAGGCGCCACGCTAATTGAACACGGTTATCGGGATTCATCGATCATCTCCCGTCCCCCCGGCAGAGAGAACAGAAAAAATGTATTTAACCGCGCGTCACGAACCCGAGTGCTCGGAACTCGAGATACCTACGTATGTATCTATGTGGGTACAGCGAGAGACAAAAGTACCTATTCATAAGCGATTTGTAACGTCGAGTCCAAAGTACCGAATCGATACGTCGCATGAAGGATGGAAATATTTCTTAGCCGAGGAGAAGACCGTGTTAAGAAAGTGCCGTCCATAAAAGCTAATAGTTTATTCATCTATCGATATCCTGCGGATAATTTTACGTTTGCCCGAAATTTCCGTTAAATCTTCTTTTAATAATATTCCCTAATTCGATCTTCTTTTCCCTACGTTTCATTCTAAAAACCGTTGCGCTAATTCCATTACGAAAATCACTGAAATATCTACGACGCTGGCGAGTCGACCCGATGCATATGATTTTAATACCGCGAGAATACTTTTGCCGGTCGCTGTAACCACAATTATACACGTATATCGCACGAACACGTGTACGGGCACAGGTAGAAAGTTCACTCGTGCCGTGGCGTGACTTAGGAGGGCATTCTCGGAACGCCCGCCTGCCCCGGTACCTTCGTTGTAGTTTCTTTTCGAACGAATTACGACGATAAAGACCCCCAACGAGGCGCCTTTACGTATGCTCCTACCCAAAGTTAGCGCTCGCTTCTTTCTTTCGCGAATTATTTGTTCGACCAAACTGGCTACCGGACGAACGACGACGAAACGTCGAATTTGATCTATGTCAATCAGACGAACATAGAGCCAAGTACTTCGAGAGAAGAGACGGAGAGGGATCGGTCTATCGCTACGGTCATTTATTTTTAAAATCGTTGAAATAATTGGCCCTCGTTCGGATACATCGCCGAGTCCTCGTCTCTCATTTGCCTGACGAATAACGAGACTTGGCGAGGATGCAATGGTCAGTTGAAAATTTGTACGACGTTCGAGGACCCCGCGAGAGCTGTACTAAACGAAACGCTTGAAATCAAAATTGGCTCGCTGTCATTTCGTTAATACGATCTCTTCAGATACGGTCCGATCAGCGACGAGAGATTCTACAGTAATTTTTTCATATTTATAGGCATCGTTTGCAGCAATTAACGTGGAATAAACATGAAAGACGACAAAGTGGGCAAGGTATCGGTCGATGAAGAAAGAGAGAGGCGTTCCGGGAAGTCTCGCGGCCAAAGATCGTACACCACTGGCGAGTACATAAAACGTGGAAGATTCGAAGGCGATTCGTGTTCGCCCGATCCGCACGACCCGTCATCGGCGAAGAAAATTGCTCTCTCACGTGACTCTACGAACAGTAAACTCGTACTCTATACACAGCAGCGGCAACAACAACAACCGCGAACCAGAAGCGTGGCGATGAGAAAAAAGCGAAGAAGGCGAACGAGGCGAACGAGAAACAAAGGAGAGAACGGTGAAGAAATGAGCGGCTCTAGGAAAAGTCTTAAAATCCCTGAATGAACCGCGAGTCGTCAAACGGAGTAGAGAATGAATGGTTGCCAGGCTCGGTTCCGACTGTGTCCGCGTCCCTCTCTTCTTGACCCTCCTCCTCGTCCGTCCCCTGGCTTCGTTCGGATCGACCCTAATTATGTCATAACAGTTTCGGATGATTTCTCTCCAACTTTGCCAACCTTTTAGTTTTTTCCTTCAGGTTCAGTGGAATTCGAGAAAGAGAGAGAAACAGAGAGAGAGAGAATAGGAGAGCGAAAGTACCGCCATCAGCTGTTATAAAAGCCATTCGAACCTGAACATCTAAATTTGCAAGACTCGCATAATTCTAAGAACGTCACCGACAGGCGTACGTAAAGACGTCTCCTGGCGAGGGGAATTTGATACAGTGTATTGAGTATTGAATACACGATTAAATGTCCACGGCATTTAATTAGCTCCGCGCGTACAAATGGAGTGTCCACCGAAAATCATACAAAAAGACGGAACTAGTTTCATTAGTCACACACGCGACGAGATGACTCGAGCCAGTTTTGGAACGACGTAAAAAGAGCTCGAAGCCTTGTCGTTAAGTATAGAGATTCCGGTCTATTTTCTCGCGATTAAAAACCGAGTAGCATCGTGACGAGCCACCCAGTACATTACACACGTCAAATTCCGTGGTAACATGAATCGATGCGGTTTGTTCCGGTACGCGACGCGACGGAACACTCTTCAAACGTGCGAACAGATCTCTTCCCTTTTTCGCTGCATGACCAGTGAAACGTAGGCGGATTCCACCGACCGAACCGAACCGAGCCAAACGGGAAGGGGATAGGAGAGAATATAAGAAATGGAACGAACGAGCTCTCCCTCTCTCTTTCTCCTGTTCTGCATCCATGCGATCCAGTTTTTTATCACACATTCTCACGGACCAATGCCGTCTCGAATCCGACGATTTTACCCGTTACAAAAAGTAACGGGCACACATTTTGGAAAGCGAACGATTCGTTCAATCAGTTGGATCAATTGGAAATTTTTTTTTGTTAGTAACGATTGACAAAGATCCTTCATTGATTTCATTATTTTTCGCTTTAATGTAGAACCTCGAATTTTTCCGTACCCTTAAATCTAACCGTTGCTGATGTGAGAAACCTCTGGCTCGCTGCTTTGATCTTCTACTGGGCCACGGATTTTTCATCGATAAGGAATCTCGCCAACGGATCTGTGACTAGAGTTTTAAAAAAGAACAGATTCGACCCGATTCCTTTCCTACGGTATCTGTATAAATTTCATTAGACCTCTCGCGGACGCATCCGCTCTTGCTCGCAGCCAAATTCTCCGCGATCTCGGTCACATTCTCAATTGCCATTCTTTTTTTTTTTTTATTACGTTAAATTCGATTCATCAGGCTGAAGATCTTTGATCGGAAGACAGAGCGTAACTACGAGCCTGAATCCGGAGTCTTTTATTTTCTCCCGTATCGGTCTCGCATATCGAACTGAATCGGGCTGCGAAATGAAGTTAATGTGGAATCGTGCGAGTCAAGTGTGAGAAGCGAGGTGTACGCCACACTCTGGACCGGACACGGTGTGCTCGATGATCGATCCCAGGAGAAAAAAGCATGAAAAACCGACCAGGGGAACGAAACTCTCGTTACTGTTTTATTTTGCCGAACGCAAGCCTCTCGCGAATGAGAAGTGTTGGTAAATCGCTATCCTCGATGTTTGCTCTAAAACTTTTAGCATACGATGATCGTACGATCCAAGAATAATAATAAATACGAATTCTGTGCGAACATTTTTTAGTTGGCATTAGTTTTATCGTAGACAAATTGCGGATTCTGACACGCGTATAGATTCGTCTGCGAGCGACGGAGGTGTAAGGACCGCCAGGTAACCATAATAACGTTTCCAGGCTTAAAATAGTTTCGATACCCTTTTCTGATTGACTAAAGTTCGCCATTCTCCTCAAATATAGTCCATTCGATTCTATTACGTGTCTTACGCGTACAATTTTCTTGTCACCCGGATGGAGAATGGACTAACGTTAACTCGACTCGGTAATCCCGAGTCATTGACTCTGTTTCCGGTTTCGGTTCTCCGCCGTTCCCTGTCCCTCGCGCCGCGCTGTCATCCCCTATCCCAGTTCTCGCCCTCTTTCTTCTCTTTCCCGGCTATTTCTATCCCTCCATTCAGTTCTATCTATATCCAATTTGTTTTTATCCGCGTTCAATCTATTCCCTCGGCTCGTCGCTATTTTTCACCCATTGCGCGTGTACCTATTCCCAACTGATATCTTTGATTTTTTTTCATTCACGTTACTACTTCCATATGATCGCCCGAAGTACGAACAGTCGAGTCGGACAGACGTGTGCGTAGAAACGAGTTCAATTCAAGATCGATAGGAAAAAATAAGAACTGAGCTGGGAAAGGGTTAGTAGAAAAGAAACCGATGTCACTCGACCTATTTTCTCAATCGCTTCGGATCGCATCTCGTTCCTAAGTAAACGTATATAGGGTACGTACGTATACACGTAGATATAAATGGTCGTCCGTATATTAAAAATTAAGTGATCCTCTGCTCGAGTGCGCCTTCCTATTTTAGTTTGCAAATGTATTTAAGTACCCGGGCACGAATGCTTCTCGTTAGTCGTTGAAGCTCCTCCTTTTACATGTCGTGTATGTGTCTCTTCTATCGTCATACACTTTTACAGTGCGCAACATTTTTCTTTTACGTGCACGTTTAACGTCGACTTTGCTATTATAATCAGTTTCGATTATGGTTCACGCGTCTTTGATTCGGCGCGAGTGCTACTTTACGTTGCGCGTTTCATGGTGTCCGTATATTGGAAAACGATTCTTCGTGAACAGATTAAAATAATGTGTAATGATACTGTGTAAGTAATATATGTATAATAATAAAATCTCAGTACGAACGATCTATGCTTTTCATTTTTCATACCAGACGATTCTTCTAAATATTTACACGCATAATTCTTTGTGATTGAAATATTAGAAAAAATGCACCTGGTACAATTTCCTCCAAGAATTCTCTACATTCAATTTCCTATATTAAAAATCCTGAGGCCGAAAAATTGCAAAGGAAACAGACGCGGCTAAAAACAGCCGCAATAAACAATGGTCTAAAACCAAAAAAAAAAAAGAAACAGGGAGTTGTATATAACTACTTTCCACCCCCTAAAAATATTCCTCGCAGAAACGGGTCCTCCTTGTGTCTCGTTTAATATTCCTCTTTTTTGCTCCTGCGTTCGCGGAACGTTAAAATATACACTTCAGAAGCGATACCCATTCGCTGTTTCCTCGACAACTTTTCCCTTTTTTCACGTCCGGTGCACGCGAAACGGGTACAAAAGCGTTTTTGGTTCGCGTGCAGCGAATTTCCACAGATTTCGCGGATTAAAAATGTTGGGAACGCGTGCGCGTAAAATCGTGTTTCACCGTTCGACGAATTCGAATCTATTAATTCTAGTCAATCGCAAGACGTACTGTTTTGTGGATTTAATTCTCGAGATAATCGTTTAGAATAATTTCTTGATCGGACCGCGTTCAACGGCCGAGAGCGTAAACTTTGTTTACTAAATAAATCGGTTCTTAATAGAGACTTAAAAGGTTTCTCGACGATAACTCGAAACGGAACTTTCGAAATCCAGGTTCGAGCTGTCTTCGATTAATCGAGCGCAAAGTTTAGCTTTTCCGTTCGGCCGTTAATCCAAGGATTATGATACGAACATCGTTGCCCCACAGCTGGCAATTACATAGGTACCTATAACGACGATGACGACGCGAACGATTGAAATCTGGAACGACAGAATTTCACCTAACGGAATATTTTCGGGGAGACGTCGTACCGATTATACGTAAAGTTGACCATGTATTTCCTGCTCGACTTCATTCCCATTATTCTTCACTCTATTTCCAAAGCGAAACTCGGAATCTGGCCGCGTTTATTTTAATCATCGTTCCAAACGAACGAACTTTTCGAATTATATCTCCATCGCGTCCCCGCCGCCTCTCCTTTCCCCCCTTTCCTTCCCCTCATTTTACGACCGTCCGGTCCGGTGGACGTTACTTTTCCATTTACGTTCGCCCAGCTGATTTCGGTTCGCGCTTTTTCTCCTCAACGTAGGGAACGTACCGCGAGCGGCACGGCCACGCTTTCGGATCAGAGAATGAAGAGGATTCCGCCGCGCGATCCTGTTCGTTCGAGGATAAATGGAATGGTACATGGTAAATTGAACCTAAGAATTTAATAAGCGTCGAATATTATGCGTGCGTAGAGATGAAGACGGATAGGTCGGTGGACGATTGGTGGATGCGAGAATCGGTCCATTCGTACCGAGAGGCGTTTGCCCGGGACAGGCCAGGACCTAGACCAGGTCCGGGGCGTTCGTTTCGCATTTAATCCCGGGGAAAACTACTCGTTCGCGTGCGCGCGTGTTTCGTTCGCGTCGAGCAGGCAAAATACGCGAAAGACCAAAGACAACGCCCTTCGGGTACTTATATACGACGTTGGCGGTAAAGATGAGAGACGTAAGAAGCGAGAGAGACGAGGAACCGACCCAGGGTGGAGGAGGCTGCTCGGGGGATGGAGATGAGCACTCCTACTCCACTCGTCGAGGAGGGTGACGAGGGTAGGGGGGTGGCTAGGTATGTATAAGCAGAAGAAAGCGCGGGTCGATTAAAAGTAGCGACGAGGGTGTTTCTCCTCTCGTTACCAGCGGCAGCAGCTCGAAGGAACGAAAGCTGAGAGAGGGACGGGGATGAAACGAAGACGGATAGGGGTGGTAAAAAGAGAGAGAAACAGAGGGAGAGAAAGAGGGAGGACGTGTTGTAAGAAAGAGAGAAGAAGGGTTAAGACTCGAGAAAGAAAGAGAGAAAGATAGATAGATAGAGAGAGAGAGAGAGAGAGAGAGAGCAGACTGGAGGGGGTCGAAAGAAGAAAACGGACAGAAACGGCGCGAGGGGGACGCAGAGTTTTCCGATCCAGAGGGGTCGGAACGCCGCGCCGCCTACACTCCGGGGAGGGAACGGGTAGAGACTCAAGAATCTCGAGCTTTATTTGGATTTAAGTAAGGAAAGGGTTGTAAGATGAGTCGGATCCGATGGATTCGCGAGCGAGGGGAGGTTTTTAAGGGGCGCCGCGCATACGAAACGAAGCGTGCGGCACGTGAATTTAAATTTTACGAGTGGCGGGAATTAAGATACGCGAGTCCGCGGTTAGACGGGAATCCGTATTTATTTGTAGTTTCCCAGTTTTAATAGTTTTCGTTCGAGGCGAGCTGGGTTGTATATTTTAAACGTTCCGGTGGTTTCGCGCGTTCCGTTTTATTTACCATACACCGCGACTTTTTACTTGCAAAACGGAGAACGAAATCTTAGGATCGGTAATCGCGACCCCGGAGATAACTAGTAAAGTAAATTCGTTCATAGATTCACTTCCCTACGACTCGTACGATCTTAAAACGTGCGTACGCGTGTTTCTCGGCTCGTGTCGTAGACAACGCATGCCTCAAATACATATTACGTCTACAATATGTACGTAGAAATGCGAATCGGCCGAGTCGGTCGAGAGAGTTAAACTTCGTAGAGTAGAGAGTCAGAACCTTTCACTCGTTCGTGGTCCAGGGAGCACGGTATGGTGCTCGATGGTTCCCACATCGCTACAGTTTGTTTCTTGTTCTTGTTCTTCGCGGCAACGGGAGGGGAGGATGGGAACCGAGATGCTCGTGGACACCCATGGACCCTCGTTACACAGGTGGACTATCGTTCAAATGGAATAAGCGACGAGCGATTAACGCATCGTTCGATCCAATTATTAAGCACGCACTATTAATTATTATTAAACGTATTTGATAGTCGTCGAACGGTCTCTCCGTTGTTCGTGTTCGTATATATTGTATACATGTATAAATTTTTATTTAATTCGCAGCGTAATGAATTCGCAGTAGGGAATCCGAGAAATGCAGTTAGGACGAGTGAAGACGGTTGCTCATTCGTATTAAATGCCTAATGAAAAAAGGGTGGGCGTCGCATACCAATCGATTATTAGATTCACGATAATTCGCCCAGCGAGCATAATAGGCAGGTAGGTACGGTTTCGAGTCTTTTATTCGTAACCACGCGGGCGAATATTTTCAAGGAATTTAATAGACCGGCCATCCACCGAATCGTTCCCTCTTCCCGATTGATTGAAATATCGAATGAAACGCGGAACAAAGGGAAAAGAACTTTGTTTCTTACGGCCAATCGACGCAACCTTCCTTCTCGTTCCCATCAAACGGTGGACACTAGTTCGTTAGCTTTTGCGTGGTCACTTCCTCCGATAATGATAGTTATACGTTATAAATAAAAAAGAATAACAGTCTTGTGAAGTTATAATGTATATAAAAGACTCTTGTCGAGTCGTCGGCTTTGATAAGAAAGCTACGACATCGGTTATACCGCTTATGGACGTACGGGAAAAAAGAATAATTATCCTTTGACGAATCCGAGCATCGCCGGTGGTTCGATTTCGAGCAGCTAATAAATATAATTCCCGCTGACGTTCGTCGTTGATAATATTAAATATTCGTCCGATACCATCTGTCCGCGACAAGTTCGTGCTTCCATCGAGTCATTCCGAACGTTTCCACGGTTAGGACTGGTACGGTGTCGAATAAGAGGAGTGATGATCGAAGAAGAACAAACATCGCGAGACAATGACGATACTTTGTACTCGGAGCGAAGTTTACGAGCAATCAGGATGGCCGGTAAATTGTTTGTTCCTCAAACTCATTCGGTTCCATTCCGTGAAATTCTGTTGGAATAATCACCGCTTCGGTGAACCTAACGATTATCGCTTTTTTTGTAAGTAAGCGAGCAAGCGAGTACACTCGCTTCGAGGAAGCCTAGTCGAATGCGATACGAAACGGCTTGTTCGCGCGTCTCTCGGTACGCAAAAAATTGCGTTCTTTCCCGAGTAATATTGTTCCGACTTTCCGAGTTCCCATTCTGAATCGTCGCGTGGATCAGAAATGCAGCTAAACTTCGATTTCCACGAAGCCACGGACTTCGTTCTGGCGTCGTCGGAAAAAAAATAGTTAATTTTCGAGAGAAAAGTGAGTTTTTATAAAAATACCTGTTGGCCACGGCCGCGGGACGGGAAACGCGGCACACCGGGCCGAGGAAAAGGGGAAGGCGCTATCCGGAACTGGTGGGGAGGATAAAGAGGAGCGCGAGAGGAGAGGAGAGAAAAGAGGGAGGTTGTCGCGCATTGAAGTCTCCGGAACGGCAAAGAGTAACACGAACGAACGAACGGAACGAAACGGAATCGTCCAGCCTCGAACGGTTCGAACTCCGATGAAACGTATGTGGAGAGGGAAAATCTCTCTTTCTCTCCAACTCTTTTCTCCGAAGGGAAGAGGTGGTGCGCGAAGCAGAGCGAAGCGAACCAGAGCCATTGACCCGTGGAACGAGATAAATTATAAACTGTGAATACTAAATACAATGTCTACCTAAATACGTACGTATCGTATGATAGGTAGAAGAAACCTAAGACGAGTAGAATAGGACGTAATGCGAACGACTCGCGTCGCGATAGGAATTTAATGACTGCGCGTAAGTCGTGTATCTACGGGCCAACAATAAAGGGAAGAAAGAAAGGTTACACATATCGAGGCGGGTGGTAAGAGATCAAACGAAGGGGAGAAGAAGAGCGATAGAAGGATCACGGAACCGTTGGCAAAAGGAAAGTTAGGAAGGAAGAAAAGAGGCGGGCGGCCCTCGGCCGACGGAATACCAGAGCAGAGCACACACGACGAGAGGAGAGGAAGATTATATTGCGGAGGGTAGGGGGCATGACCCTGGGCGGCCACGAGGATCGGTGCAC